GAATATGCCATGTATCTGTGATATGTTATACATAACATCTATAGGATCTATGATATATATATATATGTTATATACATGATATATAATATCTATGACATGTATGTGATTTATATGACATATAATATCTGTAGGATCTTTGGTCTATATATGTTATATGAATTATATAGAATATCTATGACAGGTATAGCTGATCTATGTTATATATGACATGTATAGTATCTCTGATATATAGGATATATCCATGATATTATATGTATAGAATCTCTAATATATAGGATACATCCATGATATTATATTATATGTATAGTATCTCTAATATATAGAATATATCCATGATATTATATGTATAGTATCTCTGATATATAGGATATATCCATGATATTATATGTACAGAATCTCTGATATATAGGATACATCCATGATATTATATTATATGTATACTATCTCTGATATTATATGTATAGTATCTCTGATATATAGGATACATCCATGATATATTATATGTATAGTATCTCTGATATATAGGATATATCCATGATATTATATGTACAGAATCTCTGATATATAGGATACATCCATGATATTATATTATATGTATACTATCTCTGATATATAGGATATATCCATGATATGATATTATATGTACAGAATCTCTGATATATTATATGTATATATGTACATATTATATGTATAGTATCTCTGATATATAGGATATATCCATGATATTATATTATATGTATAGTATCTCTGATATATAGGATACATCCATGATATTATATTATATGTACAGAATCTCTGATATATAGGATATATCCATGATATGATATTATATGTACAGAATCTCTGATATATAGGATACATCCATGATATACATGACCTACAGGATCTGTGATATACATACTTTATAGACCATATGTCACATATATGTGATGTGCATTATAGATCCTATCTATAGGATCTATGATATATATATGTTATATACATGATATATAATATCTATGACATGTATGTGATTTATATGACATATAATATCTGTAGGATCTTTGGTCTATATATGTTATATGAATTATATAGAATATCTATGACAGGTATAGCTGATCTATGTTATATATGACATGTATAGTATCTCTGATATATAGAATATATCCATGATATTATATTATATGTACAGAATCTCTGATATATAGAATATATCCATGATATTATATGTATAGTATCTCTGATATATAGGATACATCCATGATATTATATTATATGTATAGTATCTCTAATATATAGAATATATCCATGATATTATATGTATAGTATCTCTGATATATAGGATACATCCATGATATAATATTATATGTATAGTATCTCTGATATATAGGATATATCCATGATATTATATTATATGTATAGTATCTCTGATATATAGGATATATCCATGATATTATATTATATGTACAGAATCTCTGATATATAGGATATATCAATGATATACATGACCTACAGGATCTGTGATATACATACTTTATAGACCATATGGCACATATATGTGATGTGCATTATAGATCCTATCTATAGGATCTAGGATATATAGACCTAAGATACCCATAAACCTTATCTATGGCAAGTATATGCGATTGACATATTATATCTCTAGTATCTTTCATATATGTAGATGTGATACACACTATATCCATGACCTATGGGATCTATGGCACATATATATATGCTAGAAACAGGATATAGCATAGCTATGACGTGTAGATGTGATTGACATTATATATAACATCTACAGGATCTATGATATATATGCTATATACATTACACAGAATATTTATGACATGTATATGTCCTATGTATCAATTTATCTGGGGATGTTTCAATGACATAATATATAATATCTACAGTATCTTTCACATATAGATGTTATATACATGATACACATGACCTATTGGACCTATTAAATATATACATTATATAGTAAATATATACATTATATAGTATATCTATGACACGTATATGTGATTTGCGTTAAATATCATATACATAGGATCTATGATGTATATATGTCATACACATGATATAGAGCATCTATGACATGTACATGTGATATAAGTTATACATAATATATATATATAGTATCGATGGTGGATGAGCATACATGGTACACAGGTGACATACAATACATACAGCAGGTACAGTATATGTAATATACGTTATACATGGTATAGATCGTACATAAGGGATGTATATCCGTCAATCCACCCATGCACCCAACCACCCATCCATCCCTCCACCCATCTATAGATCCACCCACGCATCCATCCCTCCCTCCATCCATCCCTCCCTCCATCCACCCATCCATCCCTCCACCCAACTATCCATCCACCCACCCACCCACCCATCCATCCATACATCCACCCACCCACCCATCCATCCATCCACCCACCCATCCATTCATCCATCCACCCATCCATCCATGCACCCATCCATCCATCCATCCACCCATCCAAACACCCATCCATCCACCCAACCATCCATCCACCCACCCATCCATCCACCCACCCATCCATCCATCCATCCACCCATCCATCCATCCATCCACCCACCCATCCATACATCCACTCGTCCACCCATCCATCCACCCATCCACCCATTCATCCATCCATCCACCCACCCATCCATCCATCCACCCATCCATCCATCCATCCACCCACCCATCCATCCATCCACCCATCCATCCATCCATCCATCCATCCATCCATCCACCCATCCATCCACACATCCACCCATCCATCCATCCACCCATCCATCCATCCATCCATCCACCCATCCATCCATCCATCCATCCACTCGTCCACCCACCCATCCATCCATCCACCCATCCATCCACCCATCCACCCACCCACCCATCCATCCATCCACCCATCCATCCATCCATCCATCCACCCATCCATCCATCCACCCATCCATCCATCCATCGATCCATCCACCCATCCATCCATCCACCCATCCATCCACCCATCCATCCATCCATCCACCCATCCACCCATCCATCCACCCATCCATCCATCCACCCATCCATCCATCCTTCTATTTATATAGAGATGTATGAATATATTGATCTGTTCATCTATCTCTCTGTCCATCTGTCCATCCACCCACCTGTCAGTCTATTCATCTATCTATGGATGTATCTGTCTGTCCATCCATCCATCATCCATCCATCCATCCATCTATCTGTCTATCTATCTATCTGTCTGTCTGTCTATTTATCTATGTATCTACTCATCTGTTTATCTATTTATGGATAAATCTATCCATCCATCCATCCACCTTTCATATCTATGTCTGTCTGTCTGTCTCTGTCTCTCTCATCGATTTCCTTTTCACAAAGACCACACAACCACGCTCTCCCCAGAAACCAATGGTTTTATTCCTTCCCAGATCCCCCCTCCAAAATAAAAGCCAAATGGAGTCTTCCAAGCACCTTCGTCCAGGGAGGGTCATCAGTAAACACATGAAGAGTTGACTCATTATTATTATTGTTTATTGTGGTTATTTTCCAGTCCTGGGATTTGAACTCACAACCTCAAGACGGTGGTGCTGGTCTCTGAGACGTTGGCCTCCAAGGCTGGTCCTCGACCACTTGAACCACGGTGCGTGCGTCTGGCTGGGTCTGGGGGCTCTGGGTTCCAGGGGGTCAAGGGAGAGAAGAGTCCAGGGAGTGTGGTTGGGGATCGAACCCTGATCCTCCAGATCTCAGCCTCCTCCTCCTGAGTCACTGGGGTGGATGGGTGGATGGGTGGATGGATGGGTGGATGGATGGGTGGATGGATGGGTGGATGGGTGGATGGATGGGTGGATGGATGGATGGATGGGTGGATGGGTGGATGGATGGGTGGATGGATGGATGGATGGATGGATGGGTGGATGGATGGATGGATGGATGGATGGTGGGTGGATGGATGGATGGATGGATGGATGGATGGGTGGATGGATGGGTGGATGGATGGATGGTGGGTGGATGGATGGATGGATGGATGGGTGGATGGATGGATGGTGGGTGGATGGATGGATGGATGGATGGGTGGATGGGTGGATGGGTGGATGGATGGGTGGATGGGTGGATGGATGGGTGGATGGATGGATGGATGGATGGATGGTGGGTGGATGAGTGGATGGATGGATGGATGGATGGATGGGTGGATGGATGGATGGATGGATGGGTGGATGGATGGATGGGTGGGTGGATGGATGGATGGATGGATGGATGGGTGGATGGATGGATGGGTGGACGGATGGGTGGATGGATGGCTGGATGGATGGATAGATGCTTGGAAAGAGGGATGGATGGATGATGGGAGCCATCATGGGATGGGAACCCAGGAGGTCGACATGCGTGAGCGTGTGTGTGAATCGTGTAAGAGGTCAGACAGACCACGTGTGTGTCTGTGATTGTTGTTGTTGTTATTATTATTGTTTTGGAGAAGGTCGTCCACTCTGGATTTGGCCAAGTCTTGGGAAGGAACCCGTGGGTGCTCGTGGAAAGATGGATGACCAAATGCTGATTCTACTAGATCGGATCTTCATTCTCTCTTTCTCTTCCTGCACATATATATCAGTCCATCCACCCATCCATCCACCCACCCATCCACTTATCCATCCATCCATCCATCCATCCATCCACCCATCCACCCATCCAACCACTCATCCATCCATTCATCTATCTACTCATCCATCCATCTAACTACCTGTCCATCCATCCTTCCACTCATCCCTCCACTCATCCATCCACCCATCCATCCATCTACTCATCCATCCATCCATCCCTCCCTCCACCCATCTACCCATCCATCCACCCATCCATCCAATCATCCATCCATCTCTCCTCCCATCCACCGATCCATCCACTCATCCATCCATCCACCAATCAATCCACCCATCCACCCATCCATCCATCCATCCATCCATCCACCCATCCATCCATCCATCCACGGACCCATCCATCCATCCACCCATCCATCCATCCACCCATCCATCCATCCATCCACCCATCCATCCATCCATCCACCCATATCTGTGTTTTTTCCTCTGAAGATGGCCTCCCTCCCTTCATCGTCTCTTGCGTGCTTGCAGATGCATGAATGGTGGCCAGAAGTGACCCCGGGGATGGAGTTCTCCAAAGTAAGCACCCAGTGCGGGCACCAAGTTCTGCTCGTGGGAGCCATGTTGTGTGCAAGGAGCTCACATCCTGTGCACGGTCCCATCCCATGGAGGAAGAGATCAGTATCTCCCTGGAGGTCGCTTGTCAGAGGGAGCAGGATAGGGCTGCTTCCCATGGGGCCCTGGGAGGAGATAAAGGGGATCATGAATCTACCCCACCCACCCCAGCCCTAGGAAAGGCAGCACCCCCTGAGCACACCCAGACCATCCACCCATCCATCCATTCATCCATCCATGCATCCATCCATCCAGCCATCCATCCATCCTCCCACCCATCCATCCATCCAGCCATCCATCCATCCATCCATCCATTGATCCATCCACCCATCCATCCATCCACCCATCCACCCACCCACCCATCCATCCATCCATCCATCCATCCATCCACCCATCCATCCATCCACCCATCCATCCACCCATCCATCCATCCACCCATCCATCCATCCATCCCCCCATCCATCCATCCACCCATCCATCCATCCACCCACCCATCCATCCATCCATCCACCCATCCATCCATCCACCCATCCACCCATCCATCCACCCATCCATCCATCCACCCATCCATCCACCCATCCATCCATCCACCCATCCATCCATCCACCCACCCACCCACCCATCCATCCACCCACCCATCCATCCATCCATCCACCCATCCATCCACCCATCCATCCATCCATCCATCCACACATCCATCCATCCACCCATCCATCCACCCATCCCCTGGGCTCACGAGGCGCAGCAAGTGCAGGTGGGAGGTCAGGGGTCCTGAAGGTCCCGGTGGCTGCTGGTCCTTCCCCGAGGCGGGTGAGCGCGCGCACCTGCAGCTGGTACAGGGTGGACGGGGTGAGGTGGGGCACGGCCAGGAGGAAGCGGTCCTGGAAGAGGGGCCCTGGGTGAGATGCCAGCTCAGGCCACGAGTTACAACAACCACTACAACAACAGTAATAATAATGCAAACAACAACAACAACAATAATAATGCAAACAATAACAACAACAGCAACAATAATAATGCAAACAACAACAACAACAGTAATAATGCAAACAACAACAACAACAGTAATAATAATGCAAACAACAACAACAACAACAATAATGCAAACAATAACAACAGCAACAACAATAATAATGCAAACAATAACAACAACAACAATAATAATGCAAACAATAACAACAACAACAATAATAATGCAAACAATAACAACAACAACAATAATAATGCAAACAATAATAATGCAAACAACAACAATAATAATGCAAACAACAACAATAATAATGCAAACAATAACAACAACAATAATAGTATCAATAACAACACAAACAACAACAGTTATAATAGTAACCCTAAGAGCAATAACAGTAACAAGAACAAGAATAACAATAACAACACAAACAATAACAATAGAAACAACAACAATAACAGTAACAACAACACAAACAACAACAGTAACATCAATATTAGTAACACAACCATAATGGCAACAATGACAAGAATAACAGTAACAAGAATAACAACCACAATAGTCACAATAAGAGCACAAACAACCATGGTAATCCCAGTAACAAGAACCCCACCAAAAACACCAATCTCCATACCAATAACTCCAATACCAATAACACCAATAACACCAATCACCAATACTAATAACACCAATACCAATACCAATAACACCAATACCAATAACACCAATACCAATACCAATAACACCAATACCAATAACACCAATACCAATACCAATAACACCAATACCAATACCAATAACACCAATACCAATAACACCAATACCAATACCAATAACACCAATACCAATAACACCAATACCAATAACACCAATAACAATAACAGCAATAACAATACCAATAACACCAATACCAATACCAATAACACCAATACCAATAACACCAATACCAATACCAATAACACCAATACCAATACCAATAACACCAATACCAATACCAATAACACCAATACCAATAACACCAATACCAATACCAATAACACCAATACCAATAACACCAATACCAATAACACCAATAACAATAACAGCAATAACAATACCAATAACACCAATGACCAATACCAATAACACCAATACCAATAACACCAATAACACCAATAACCAATACCAATAATACCAATAGCAATACCGAAAACACCAATACCAATATCAATAACACCAATAACCACACCAATAACACCAATACCAATAACACCACTACCAATATCAATAACACCAATAACAATACCAATAACGCCAATAACAACCCCAATACCAATAACACCAATACCAATAGCAATAACACCAATACCAATAGCAATAACACCAATACCAATAACACCAATACCAATACCAATAACACCAATACCAATAACACCAATACCAATAACACCAATAACAATACCAATAACACCAATACCCATACCAATATCAATAGCACCCATTACAAAACCAATAACACCAACACCACCAATACCAATAACAACACCAATAACACCAGTAACAACACCAATAACACCAGTAACAATACCAATGACACCAATACCAATATCAATAACACCAATACCAATAACACCAATACCAATAACACCAGTAACAATACCAATGACACCAGTAACAATACTAATAACACCAATACCAATACCAATAACACCAATACCAATACAATACCAATAACACCAATACCAATACCAATAATACCAATACCAATAACACCAATACCAATACCAATAACACCAATAACAATATCAATAACACCAATACCAATACCACCAGTAACAATACCAATAATACCAATACCAATACCAATAACACCAATACCAATACCAATGACACCAATACCAATACCACCAATACCAATACCAATACCAATAACACCAATACCAATAACACCAATACCAATACCAATAACACCAATATCAATAACACCAATACCAATACCACCAGTAACAATACCAATAATACCAATACCAATAACACCAATACCAATACCAATACCACTAATACCAATACCAATACCAATAACACCAATACCAATAACAGCAATACCAATAACACCAATACCAATAACACCAATACCAATAACACCAATACCAATAACACCAATACCAATACCAATACCACCAATACCAATAACAATAACAATAACACCAATACCAATAACACCAATACCAATAACACCAATACCAATAACACCAATAACAATATCAATAACACCAATACCAATACCACCAGTAACAATACCAATAATACCAATGCCAATACCAATAACACCAATACCAATACCACCAATACCAATAACAATAACAATAACACCAATACCAATAACACCAATACCAATACCACCAGTAACACCACCAATGACACCAGTAACACCAGTAGCCATAACGGTCCCCACCCAGTGACACCAGCCCCACTCCCGTCCCCGCCCCCAGCAAACTCCCAGAGGCCAACGCTCACCCCAGTGCGCACGCCAGGCCCAAGACCTAACCTCCTGTTTTCTTTCTAGAACCTTCCATGCTGCCTGTCCTCTGCAATTCCAGGGCACGTGGCCTTGCCCAAGGTGAGTGTGCCCTCCCTCCTTCCTTCCTTCCCTCCTTCCTTTCTTCCTTCCTTCCTTCCTTCCCTCCCTCCTTCCTTCCTTCCTTCCCTCCTTCCTTCCTTCCAATCCTTCCTTCCAATCCTTCCCCCTTTCAATCCCTCCTTCCTTCCTTCCTCCCTTTCCTCCATCCAATCAATCCTTCCTTCCTTCCTTCCAATCCTTCCCTCCATCCAATCAATCCTTCCTTCCTTCCCTCTTTCCTTCCTTCCAATCCTTCCCTCCATCCAATCAATCCTTCCTTCCTTCCCTCCTTCCTTCCCTCCAATCCTTCCCCCTTTCAATCCCTCCTTCCTTCCTTCCTCCCTTCCCTCCATCCAATCAATCCTTCCTTCCTTCCCTCTTTCCTTCCTTCCTTCCAATCCTTCCCTCCCTCCAATCAATCCTTCCTTCCTTCCCTCTTTCCTTCCTTCCTTCCAATCCTTCCCTCCTTCCTATCAATCCTTCCCTCCAATCCTTCCTCCTTTCAATCCCTCCTTCCTTCCTATCAATCCCTCCTTCCTTCCAATCCTTCTCTCCAATCCTTCCTTCCCTTCTTCCTTCCCTCCTTCCTCCCTTCCCATCAACCCTTCCCCCTTTCAATCCCTCCTTCCTTCCAATCCTTCCTTCCCTCCTATCCTTCTTTCCAATCCTTCCCTCCTTCCTTCCCTCCATTTCTTCCTTCCTTTCTAATCTTTCCCTCCTCTCCTTCTTTCCAATCCTTCCTTCTTTCCAATCCTTCCTTCCTTCTCTCCAATCCTTCCTCCCTCCTTCCTTTCCTTCAATCCTTCCCTCCTTCCTAACCCCCCTTCTTTCCAACCCTTCCCTCCAATCCTTCCTTATTTCCAACCTTTCCTTCCTTCCCTCCAATTCTTCCCTCATCTCCTTCCTTCTTTCCAATCCTTCCCACCAATCCTTCCTTCCCTGATTCCTTCCCTCTTTCCAATCCTTCGTTCTTTCCTTCCCTCCAATCCTTCCTTCCTCTCCTTCTTCCCAATCCTTTCCTCCCTCCTTTCCAATCCTTCCTTCCCTCCTTCCTTTCTTCCAATCCTTCCCTTCCGTCCAATCCTTCTATTGCTTCTTTCCAATCCTTCCCTCCCTCCTTCCTTTCAATCTTTCCTTCCTCTCCTTCTTTCCAATCCTTCCCTCCTCTCTTCCTTCCTTCTTTCCAATCCTTCCCTCCAATCCTTCCCTTCTTCCTTCCCTCCAATCCTTCCCATCCTTTCCTCCTTCCTTCTTTCCAATCCTTCCCTCCTTCCTTCTTTCCAATCCTTCCCTTCTTCCTTCCCTCCAATCCTTCCCATCCTTTCCTCCTTCCTTCTTTCCAATCCTTCCCTTCTTCCTTACCTCCAATCCTTCCCTCCAATCCTTCCTCTCCTCCTTTCCAATCTTTCCTTCCCTCCAATCCTTCCCTTCTTCCTTTCCTCCAATCCTTCCTTCCTTTCCAATCTTTCCCTCCTCTCCTTCTTTCCAATCCTTCCGTTCCTTCTCTCCAATCCTTCCTCCCTTCTTTCCAACCCTTCCCTCCTTCCTTCCTTCCCTCCAATCCTTCCTTGTTTCCAATCTTTACTTCCTTCCCTCCTTCTTTCTTTCCCTCCAATCCTTCCCTCCTTCCCTCCAATTCTTCCCTCATCTCCTTCCTTCTTTCCAATCCTTCCTTCCTTCCCTGATTCCTTCCCTCTTTCAAATCCTTCGTTCTTTCCTTCCCTCCAATTCTTCCCCATTCCAATCCTTCCTTCCTCTCCTTCCCTCCCTCCTTTCCAATCTTTCCTTCCCTCCTTCCTTTCTTCCAATCCTTCCCTCCCTCCTTCCTTTCAATCTTTCCTTCCTCTCCTTTCCAATCCTTCCCTCCTCTCCTCCTTCTTACCAATCCTTCCTTCCCTACGTCCTTCTTTCCAATCCTTCCCTCCAATCCTTCCTTCCCTGATTCCTCTCCTTCCAATCCTTTGTTCTTCTTTCCTTCCCTTTTTCTTATATTCGTTCCCTCCTTCCCTCCCATCTTTCCCACCAAACCTTCCTTGTTTCCAATACTTCCCTCCTCTCCTTCCTTCCTTCCAATCCTTCCCTTCTTCCTTCCAATCCCTCCTTTCCTCCCTCCTTCCTTTCCTCCCATCCTTCCCTTCTTCCTTCCCTCCAATCCTTCCCATCCTTTCCTCCTTCCTTCCAATTCTTCCCTCATCTCCTTCCTTCTTTCCAATCTTTCCCTCCTTCCTTCCAATCCTTCGTTCTTCTTTCCTTCCCTCCTTTTTCTTATATTCGTTCCCTCCTTCCCTCCCCCTTTCAATCCTTCCCACCAATCCTTCCTTCCCTCCTTCTTTCCAATCCTTGCCTCATTCCTTCTTTCCCTCCCTCCTTCCTTCCTTCCTTCCCTCCTTCCTTCTTTCCCTCCAATCCTTCCCTCCTTCCTTCTTTCCCTCCAATCCGTCCCTCCTTCCTTCTTTCCCTCCAATCCTTCCCTCCTTCCTTCTTTCCTTCCTTTCCAATCCTTCCTCCTTCCAATCTTTCCTTCCTTCCTTCCCATTCTTCCCTCATCTCCTTCCTTCTTTCCAATCCTTCCCTGATTCCTTCTCTCCTTCCAATCCTTCGTTCTTCTTTCCTTCCCTTTTTCTTATATTCGTTCCCTCCTTCCCACCAATCTTTCCTGTTTCCAATCCTTTCCTCTTTCGTGTCCTTCCCTCCTCTCCTCCTTCTTTCCAATCCTTCCTGCCCTACAATCCTTCCCTCCTATCCTTCCTTCCCTCCTTCCTTCCTTCCCTTCCTCCTTCCTTCCTTCCGTCCTTTCTTCCCTCCTTCCTTCCTTCCCTCCCTCCTCCCTCTCCTTCCTTCCTCCTTCCTTCCTCCTTCCGTCCCTTCCTTCACGTCCTTCCTACAGTCCTTCCTTCCTTTCCTCCCTCCTTCCTTCCTTCCCTCCCTCCTTCCTTAATTCTCTCCTTCCTTCCCTCCCTCCTTCCTTCCCTCCTTCCTTCCTTCCTTCCCTCCTTCCTTCCTTCCCTCCCTCCTTCCTTCCCCTCAATCCTTCCTTCCTTCCCTTCTTCCTTCCTTCCTTCCTTCCCTCCTTCCTTCCTTTCTTCCCTCCTTCCTTCCCTTCTTCCTTCCTTCCTTCCTTCCCTCCTTCCTTCTTTCCTTCCCTCCTTCCTTCCCCTCAATCCTTCCTTCCTTCCCTCCCTCCTTCCTTAATTCTCTCCTTCCTTCCCTCCCTCCTTCCTTCCTTCCTTCCCTTCTTCCTTCCTTCCTTCCCTCCTTCCTTCCTTCCTTCCCTCCTTCCTTCCTTCCTTCCCTCCTTCCTTCCTTCCTTCCCCTCAATCCTTCCTTCCTTCCCTCCTTCCTTCCTTCCCTCCTTCCTTCCTTCCCTCCTTCCTTCCTTCGTTCCTTCCTTCCCTCCTTCCTTCCTTCCTTCCTTCCTTCCCTCCTTCCTTCCTTCCTTCGTTCCCTCCTTCCTTCCCTTCCTCCTTCCTTCTTTCCAATCCCTCCTTCCTTCCCTCCTTCCTTCCCTTCCTCCTTCCTTCTTTCCAATCCCTCCTTCCTCCCTTCATTCCTTCTCTCCTTCCTTCCTTCCTTCTTTCCTTCTCTCCTTCCTTCCTTCCCTCCAATCCTTCCCTCCTTCCTTCCTTCCCTCCAACCCTTCCTTCCTTCCTTCCCTTCTTCCTTCCTTCCTTCCCTCCCTCCTTCCTTCCTTCCCTCCTTCCTTCCTTCCCTCCTTCCTTCCTT